AAAGTCACTTTAACATAAAATCCTTAAAAAAAAACACATAAAATCAATATGGAAATCAAAATGTATTTATATTAAAATAATAATAATAAATTAAATAACCACCCTCCCCCCCTCAATAACTGTTGTTTTTAAATGAACATACAGTTCTTGAAACTTAATTCACAAAAATAATTAGTTAATTAATATACCAATACTCAGAATTCTGTTCATAAAAACATTTTAAAACAAGCCTATAATAACCTGTATTGGGGAGGCATGATCAAAAAATTGACTGAACACATTGTTATAGGTCCAGAAAGTGCTGGTTTGATTTATTTGACCATACATGTGATTCATGCCTTCATTTATCAACCCATGGACAGGAATGGTTGAACCCTTTTACTAGCACAGTAACCTAATCACAGTCATCCTTAGGTCCTTACAGAGCTTTCAAGGAGTACTTGATTACAGTGGTTCCAGTTGTGTGACCATCTGGTGCACATTGAACGGTTGTATATTATAATTGCCATAAATGTGATCCTATGTATGCAAATGTAAAAATATCTGTGACTGCCTCGAGTGAAAAAGCAGATGAGATAGACAGTCTACTCCTCCACAGTTTCCTTTTTGCTGGTCTCCTGGCCTTCAAAGATCGGGTACTTGCTTTCCACCTCTGTCCATGTGATGGCACCATTGGCCAGGTCACGAACGATTTCGGGCAATTCACTAACCTGTAAATAAACATATGTATCTCAGCAAAATAGTCAACATGCGCTGCCTCAGTGAATGAAATGAAGACACAAACATGACCAACTGCTTTACCTCAGCCCTGATCTGCCTCATGGAGTCACGGTCTCTCAGAGTGGCCGTGTGGGGCGTCTTATTAACCGTGTCAAAATCGATGGTGATACCAAATGCCACACCAATCTCATCCGTTCTGGCATAGCGTCTACCAATAGATCCTGAGGAATCATCCACCTTGTGGGAGACACCATTCCTGGTCAAGGCTTCAGCTGTAGAGTGAAGCAAAACATGAATCATTACAGAATTATCATTCAGATATTATTGATACAATTTTATAAATGGGAGTAGAGATGTTATTACTCACATAATTCTCGAACAAATGGCATAAATTCCTGATTTTGGCTCAATGGAAGGACGGAGCATTTGTATGGTGCAACAGTGGCAGGGAAGCTGAAATACTGAAGAGAAAGAAGCAAACTTCATAAATAAAGCAAGACAAACATATGAAATGATTCATTATAGAATATTACAGCTACTGCATATACCGTTCTTTGCTCATCCCCCTCCCTGATACGGAATGTGTGCTCAAAGATGGAATACATGATTCTCCCGATGCCGAAAGAGGGTTCGATCACATTAGGAACAACCTCCTCAACTGTGGAGCAAGACAAAGTCAATTAAAACCTCTGACATATTCTTGTTATGTTGACATTAAAATCGTAGCTTCTTCCTCTTACCGTGCAGGGTCTTCTGGAACCTCTTGACGTTAACCATGTCTTTGGTGAGCTTAAAAGTCTTGCCCTCTGTCTCAATGGTGAACTCACTGCAATGACAGAGGAAACCACTGAATGAACAGAATAACATTGGTAAGCACTACGGACTGAGAAAAATACCTATTTTAGCTCTGACTATTGGTTAAAAACCCTATGATATTGCTACTTCAAATAAATTCCTCAACAAAATATTAAGCAGCACAACCGTTTTTAACATTGATAATAAGACATCAACATATTAGAATGATTTCTTAAGAATCATGTAACACTGAAGACTGGAGCAATGATGATGAAAATTCAGAATCCTGAATGCTGGGGGGGAAAAAAAGGCTGTTTTCACTAATCTGACACCAAACCTCAAACTTTTAAACGATAGTGTATCTGCCTTTAAATTGTGAATCTTCATATTTGGGGGTCATTGGAATTTTCAAATGCTCTCATCAGTGATGATACTCACCCATTCTCGTTAAGGAGTTTCTCTTGACCTGTGATGTAGCATTCATCACAGATAGCCAGGTATTCCATGGCGAACTTGGCATCCTTCTTGTACGCTTTGCCAATGGCTCCTTTGTTTGGCTCGAACTGGACAACATTTACAACTTTGTGTGAAGCAGTTAAGGAAGGTAACTGAGGACAAACAGAACTAACACTCTGCTGAGAGAGTTCAGATCCAACTCAAATGC